CGCGTTTGAACAACACAGCTGTACCACTGACTAGAATGTCCAACAAAACGTCAGAATAATCAAAAACCAGAGAAATATTGTCTGGGATGTGTTGCTTAATGTTAAAGAGTTCATCTCTGGCAAAACTTACAGAAGAAGAATGACAAAACACAGAACAAACAAACAAAAACTGCAGAAGGGTTGTGGAGCTCAGCGTCGTGGCTGCCATTTGCGGCGCCATTGTTTCATTAGAAATAAGCAGCAGCTTCACATGTGTGTGTGTGTGTGTGTGCAGTCGAGTGTATCAGATGAGCAAGATCTACCTGTTCGCGCCGTCCGCTGGACTCTACACCTGCCCGCTGGCCATGACGGACGGAGCTGCTAAAGTCATCGAGGTGAAGCACTCACTCATCCAGACAAACTCTAAACTAAGGCCCTATGATTTCTGCGATGCGGAAAACACGGACGGAATCACAAAATCCAGTTATAAAAACAGAATTTACTGTATTATGTGGAATGTCACAGAATATGCTCAATTTTGAATGAATTAATCAAAAGTAGGTCAGTACACTTGGGGTCATCGGATGCAAAATTCACTTTACATGTTGTTTCAACATAAATGTGTGTTGGAAGTGTGTGTACACATCCAGCCTATAATTATAAAAGCCCACCCAGTGTTTTTTTTTTTTGCCTATTTTAAAATCCCCTTTCTCAAACCAGGCTGTTCTGAGATTCCTGTCAGAATGACGTAGTTCTGCACAGGCTGCTCACACGATAGTTGACGGACAAGGCTGTCTTACCTTAGAAAGTGTTTTTACACTACCATTGAGAAATTTTAACCAAAGTATGTTATAGACTTTTCATTAAGACCCTAAAGAATCATATCAACTTGTGGAAAATGGGCATCCGATGACCCCTTTAAATCAAAACGCGATATGGAAGAGTGTCTCTGAATATTAAGCCGCAAAAATACTATTTAAATACGAATTCTGCATGTTATTTGTCTCTGTATGAATTAATGGTGCAGACGTGCAGTTTTTTTAACTACATACGTACTGAAGCTACATATATACTGATTTCACCATCTGCTGTCTCAATATAATTAATTTATTTTTAATTTAACCATTATAACTGAGTCTAGAAAAATGAAAACGGAAACATTTTAATGGAAAAATCAGACTTTAGAAAAAATAATATGGAATTTGGGAAAAAATAAAACAGATTTCATAGGGCCCTACTAACCCTGACAGAAAGCTTACTGCCTTGTTACAGTCTGAAAAATACTTTATTCTGTTTTTACAAATGAGGATGTTCATGCTGACATTCAGGTCACGCAGTGCCACATCGATCTTCACATGACAGTCAGAGTTCATCAAACTTGAACTTAACTTTGAAGCTCAAAAGATTAGCATGAGCTTGTGTTTCCTGCGTTCACATACATATGAATGGACTTCAGTGGAATGAGAAGCACAGGTCTTTGTGCTTCACTGGTGTGTGTGTGTGTGTGTGTGTGTGTGTGTGTGTGTGTGCGTGCAGTCTTTAGGAGTGCCGGTCAGAGAAGCGTTCGAGCGTCTGACCACACGTGATGAGAAGAGGTTCTGGACGTCCGGACAGTGGATGACCGAGCGCAGGGGAGGATCTGACGTCTGTGAGGACACACACACAGAC